AATTAAGTGATTCAGTAATCATGCCTGGGTGTGGATAGTGAAATTAAACCATATTCAACTGAATTTAGTTAACTGGTTGATTCAGTAGCTCTTTTTCACAGAGGGCCAGATAGGGCCGAACAGCATTTTTCCTTCAATAAATGAAATTATGGGCGGTGCAGTGGCTTTTGCTGTTGCCTCACAACAAGAAGGGTCTGGGTTAGATTTTCCCAGCCGAGTGACCAGGGTCCTTTCTGTGTGGAGTTTACATGTTCTCCTTGTGTCTGTGTAGGTTTTCTTCAGGTGCTCTGGTGTCTTCCCACAGTCCAAAGACATGTAGGATATTTGGAGATACTAAATTGCCCTTAGATGTAAATGCATATGTCTGTGTGTCTGTCCTGTGATGGAGTGGCGACCTGTCCAGGGTGTTTCCTGCCTTGAGTGCTAGGATGGGATCCAGCACCCCTTACACCCTAGGAGGATAAGTGGCTTAGATGATGAGTCAGTGAGTAAATGAAATCATCATTTAAAAACAGCATTTTGTGCTTACTTGTGTTATCTTTTTCTTGTAATAAAAGTTTGATGATCAGAAACATTCAAGTGTGAAAAATGTGCAAAAATAGAAAAAATTGGGAAGGGGCGAATACTTTTTCACAGCACTGTAAATATATCACATTGTACAGTTTGACATTAAATCATTTTAAATCAACTTTAATTACAGTGTCAGTTATCCTTGCCATTACCATTTCTAGAGCTACACTACAATCCAAATTCTGAACACATCTTTTTATGCAGCTGCAGGGAATCTGATGACACCAACGATCTGGTGACATTCACAACATAGAATTTTATTCAGCCAGCATGAACAATAACCACCGTCTATATAATTTTAGTTGTTTAAGCCATGCAAACTGACAACAGTGAGCAACAGTTCTTTTACTGAGGGGTTTAACATGTAAAGACTTGTTTTTGTCTCTCATCTCAAAAGTCACATGACCAAGGGGAAAAAACAGCTCAAAAAGAGGGGACAAAAGCAAACTAGCAGACAAAGAGAAAGTCGGTAAGACAGAGATCCATAGAGATTTTATGTCATTTGCTGCTTTAGCTCCACTTTTCCTCTTCTGAAGACAATGGAGATTATTCACATGTTGTTCTGTACACAAGGAGCAGTAAACAGCAAGTAAATATGAACATTCAAGGATCATTCCCCCTTGTGATGAGTCAGGATTCTCCAGTGACTGGTAAGAGATTTTCATTATGTAACACTGAGAATGATTTAGCTTTGATTTCTCATGTTTGTGATTCAGACCAGCAAAAGGCCAATGAACATTAATTACAAATTTTTAGTTTTTAAGATTAAGGTATGACTGTAAGTTATGTTTATAAACACTGAAAAAAATGTAACACTATTTCTTCCCTGCCATTAGTAAAATGTGGACTTACATTTAAGAACATTAAGATACTAAATAGCACCCATTTGGGGATCTTGATGAGACATTTCTATGAACTGTAAGAAAGTTTGACAGTAAGTATTTGTATCAATATCAGTGCTTTGAAAAATCAGCTCAACTTCAATATGCAAAAAAGAGCTTTAAGCTTGTACAATGTACTTTCTCTCAAAAAATTATTACATAAAAAACACAGACAAAAACAATCATAAAAAACACAGAGTTGGGTGTTTTAGAGTTGGGTTTGTTAGAGTGAGAGCAGATGAGTTTTAGCCTGTTTTTTGGAGCTGATGATATTGGTACAGTTTTAGATGAGGTGGTCGACAGTTCCAGATTAAAGGCCCTTCATGAGAGAGTGTAAAATGTCTGTGTGACATCCTGAAGAAAGCTGTATGGTGATTAGAAGATCTTGTGGAGTACTGATGGACTTGAAAGTTGTATTGAAAACAGTTTTCAAAACAGTCAGGAAGACAGTTGTGTGTCAAAGAGAAAACAAACTGCCATGTTTGAAAGTGGTTCATTTTATACACATTGAGTATTTGAAGGTCTTGGAAAAGGAGATGAGAATTTACGTAATAATTATCTGAAGAATATGTACACAACTGATGGTACTTTTGAAAGTACTGGTCCAAATAATAATTCAATTAGAGAGATAAGGATAAATGAATGTGTAGTACTTTTTTGTGCCAGTTTGAATTTGATCATTCTGATGACACCAATATTTTTGTGACTTTGTCCAAAAGTAAGGAAATATGGTCTTTCCAGTAAAATCCTAATGATGTCTGCAATAGTCACTATAAGTCAGTGCCAAGGTCTTGAAGGTTTTCAAATGATTCCCACAAAGCGACCCTTCCCCCCGTTCTACAACAATGGAAAAACACAGTTCCTTTGCTGTAGGCCCTGCCACCATGTATGGTAGCATAGTTTTGAGATAAACACACCCTTATCTCACGTCACAGTCACTCTCCAAGCGCTATGATGTCCATGAAGGAAACATACACCACACAAACATAAAAGGTTGCTAGCTTAATTGCATGAAATAATCCCTAACTCTTCAGAAGTGAGCAGAGCAAGACAAAACGTCTGTTAGAGGACCACTGACACCAGTGTTTTTGAAACAACCATTTTGAAATAGTTTCCTTTTCATTAGAAAATGGTGGAGAAACATACCCCCTGGTGCTTGGAGGGTCCTGTGGCTGTGGACTCACTTGCAATAGCAACAAAGTGTTTGATTTACCAATATTGGAAATGCTTTTCTAGTTTGATAATACACTCTTCCACACATTGCTTGGGATCTTACACATCTCGTATTTTGTTTTCAGTTTCAGAAATGAGTGACAATTCACTCTCCACCAAACTCTTAGGGAAACTGGGTGAGTTGTCAGATTTACAAATATGCTACGGCACATTCTTCGGCACAAGTTTTTCAGAGGTATCCTGGGCATAGATACAGCGCCACCCTGTAGCAGACCAGTGCTGCATCTCTGGTCAGTAAAGAATATCGACTGTGGGTGAAGCAGTTAAACAATGACCTTGAATTTGTGTCTATTTTTCCCCTAACAGACAGCATAACATCAAAAGAAGTTTTTCAGCAACCCCTGAAATAACCAAAAGTCTAATCAGGAGGTCCTGCACCCCCACCAGGACCCTCTGTATTTCACACCTTGCATTTACCACATGTAAGTACCTCTGTGAAGCTAGCACAATCTGTAAGCAAACAAAATATATAATATATAATTCAGATCCTATAGGGCAAATAAAAAAAAAAAATCATAGCTTAAAAATTGCTTGGAGCACAGCTTTGCAATGTTGTGTGGTTGGAAAAAATTTAATTGAAGTGTAAAATATTTTTATGTTAACCCTTTATTAATTTGGTGAACATTTTAACAAGTCACAAAATAACATTAGTGAACATAAAACATTGAAAGACTGACAACATTAATTTTTGTATTCCTCCAACATTGTGCAATCTTACAATAACCCTGTTGATTTGTTTTGAAAACATGTTTTTAAGCAGCAGTCATTAATATATATATATATATATATATATATATATATATATATATATACACACACATACATACATACATACGTACATATATATATATCCATGGTTTCCAAAAATGATACAAAAATTTTATTCATCTGACCACAGAACAGTTTTCCATTTTCCCTCAGTCCATATTAAATGAGCTTTGGCCCACAAAAGATTCCAGGTGTCGTTTCCAGATCATGTTGTTATATGGCTTCTTCTTTACATGATACAGCTTTACCTTGCATTTGTGGATTGCACGGTGAACTGTGTTTACAGACAATGATTTCTGGAAGTGTTCCTGAGCCCATGCGGTGATTTCCAGTACAGAATCATGCCTGTGTTTAATGCAGTGCCGCCTGAGGGCCCAAAGATCATGAGCATCCGGTATTGACCATTGGCCTTGTCCCTTGCGTACAGGGATTTCTCCAGATTCTCTGAATCTTTTGGTGATATTATGTCCTGTAGATGGTGAGATACTAAAGTCTTTGCAATTTTACATTGAGGAATATTTTTCTTAAATTGTTCCACAATTTTTAGATGCAGTTTTTCGCAGATTGGTGAACCTCTGCCCATCTTTGCTTCTGAGAGACTTTACACTCAGTCATGTGGGTTAGTTGCAAATTGCTCCTCCAGCTGTTTATTAGTACCACTTATGGGTCTATGAGATTTGTAAATCATTGCATTCTGTTTTTATTTACATTTATTTACATTTTACACAGCATCCCAACTATTTTGGAATTGGGGTTGTGTGTGTATATATAAGTGCCTGCTGGCAGAAAACGTTCTAAAACATCTGGCGACACCTCGTGTTTAACTAATGGCCTAAAGATAAGCCATTAGCACTGCTCTGGACAGTTTTTGAACACAGCATGTGGTTTATGCGCCCTCAAAACCCTGTCAAATTCTGATCCTCATGCTGCTCCCTCAGTATGTGATGGGTCTAGAGTCTTACCCTTCATTACCATATAAGGTGTGCTGTCCTTACATCATCGCTTCCATTTTATCCTGAAGTTTCAAAATAAGAGACCCATTCTTAGGGTCATGCACAATTCAAATAAAATAATGAATCATATATGATAGGAAGGTTGTAGATAGACAAATGAGGGGTGTTTAGCCTTAGAACTATCTCAGGCATTCGATAACATCAAGTTATTATAAGTCTAAGTTGTGCAATGACAGAAATAAGAAACTAAAAGTAATAAAAAGTCAATTCAAAATCAATGGTTCTAGAAAGCATATATTTTGTGCAATAACTCAATGTGGTCATCTTACAGAATAAAGATGCATATGTTCATAACACTAAGATTTAGTCTGTTCATATAATATGTGATGTATACACATTGGTTGAAGTTAAATTTTGCCCATAATATGAATATTAATTATCATGATTCATATTTTGTAGTTCACAGTCATGGGACATGATTTATTTGAAGCCAAATTTAGCTGTTTCAAAAATGTACCTAACTGATCTGTTTGAATGGAAAGTAGATAGTTACAGCTTTCATATAACACCCACCTTTTGAATGTAGCCCGTGAAATATGAAAGTTATGAAGTAAAGAATATGATGAATGAGTTTTGGAAGTGGAACAGCTGATAAACAGGAAGACTGAATGAAAAACATCTCATTTGGCAGGCATGTTTGACAGTAATTCTTCCACCCTCATGTCATCCTTGCACCTCTTTCTTATGTCCTCAGAGGGAAGAGCTAAAATGCAAGAAAAGTATGCAAGTACATGAAACGAATATGATTAATTAAAGATATGAGAGCCAATCCTGAAATGAAAGTAAATTGGCTTGGTGAGTGCAAAAAAGTGAGATCAGTGAGGAATAACTATGGAAACCATTTCAGTGTATAGGAGACTGAGACCTCTGGAGCAGGAGGCAGAACTGGCTGGCGTAGATATGACATATATGGTAGATACATAACTCTAGATCAGGGTGGCGAACTCCAGTCCTGGAGGGCCGGAGCCCATCACAGTTTGATAATTTTCCTCCTCAAATGCATGTGTTCCAACTCAGCACCTAGTTGCCAAGTTTAGTAGATGTGTTTCAGAGCAGGAAAATCACCAAACTATGCTGAACACCACTGTAGATCAATGGTTCTCAACCTGGTCTTCAGCAGCCTCCAGATGGTCCACATTTTTGCTCTAACATAACTCGCAGCACATAGGGATAAAGGAAAATTGTGGACCATTCTGAGGGCCCTGGGGACTGAGTTGGGAACCACTGATAGTGATTATCTGAAACATTGAAATAGTCTGTTTGAGACTAGTTCATCCAGAATTTACCAGGCGTATTACAAAATGTTTCTAATGAAAATTTCTTGTATTTTAGGATCTTTTGACTTGATCTTGCTTTTCAGTGGAGCAGAAACAACAGTGAAAATGGGAAATCATAACTGTGAGCAGGTTTTTCTTCTTGTTTTCAGATTTATGTTGATGATAGAATATTAGCATTGCTTATGGCATTATGTTGCAAATGTAGCATTAGCACTATGGAGCAAATATGATTTTTTTGATTTCATATGGGTGTTATTAAATTAACAGCAAACGTTTTAATGCTTATATCCAGTGGGCACCATTTTTACAAACACTTTATTTTGAGAGGCTACTGTAGATGCTCCATAAATTATCAAATTTTCTTTAACTTATATTCAAGTATCTGTTAAATGCAACAAAATATTAAATTGAATATTATAGATTCCATTAACCACAACTCTGCATCTAAACCTAACCCTAACCCTAATCTTCAACACAAAATGTAAACCTAACCATAACACTGTCGATAATCAACTGTGTTTCACTAGTGAAGCTTGCTGGATGTTGTTCAGTTGTATATTGTGTGAGGTTTGCAGTTTAACTTACCTGAAAACTGCTATTGGAGAAATAGGATGAATTCTTGTTGTCTGAAGGAGTTTAATTGGTTTGATGGGTTCAAAAACAATTATATAGGTGTGTTTGACAGTGAGTGGACTTAAGAGCATATAAAAACTCAAGATATTAATGCATTAGACATTTTTGATGTTTGTATAGTCAATAGATATAGATAGATATAGATATAGAAACATAGTAAAATGGAATCACAAATACATAACTTATCATGAAATGTCATTTGTCTTCTTGCAATGCAGCAACACAGTCTGATGATAGAGACCCTTTAATGGACTCTAAAGAGAAAGAGATACAGGGTGAGAGCAAAGAAACCATTATTCAACATGAGGACACATTTTTGTTATTATAACCAAATTGTGTTTTGTTAAAAGTGTGTTTTGCATTGCAGATTTCTCTCTTTTTGAGGAGCTGAATCTTGTGGTCATTGGCAGTCACTGTGCTGGGAAAAATGAAGTGGCCAATGCTATCCTTCAAAAGAAAACCTTCAGAGTTTGGGGGAAATTTTGTAACTACCATATAAAGAACGGTGGAGAAATATGTAAAAGAAAGATTAAAGTGATCCGTGCCCCTGGATGGAGTGGAGATCTGCATACATCGGTTGACAAGCAAAAACAAACAAAGAAACAGATTGTGTATTCTGTGCAGTCCCACTTTGAAAAAGGACCTCATGCGGTACTCTTAGCACTCGATGTGGACTCAACCATCACAGATACAACCATCAAGACATTAGAAAACCTTCTAACTCAAGAACTTTGGGACCATACAATAGTGATGTTTACTCATGGGGAAAAACTTAAAGACATTACTATTAATGACCAAATCAAGGTTAACCAACTGCAAAGGTTCATTGAGAGATGTGGCAAAAGATATTACATTCTTCAAAAGAACAGCACCTGGAGAAAACAGAGTTCAGAGTTGGTTGAAACAATTGAGTACTTCATCGCAAACAAAGATGCTTCTGTTCTGTTTAGCCTGTCAGATGGAGAAGGTGCAAAAACGAATGACCTCAAACAGAAGAAATCTCTGATAAAAAGACTTAAAAACAAAATCAACAAGCTCAGAGAATTTAAAAATACATTGTCCTCAAACAGGACCCAGGATGACTCTTATCAGCATCTGATTGATTCTAAAGATGCTGAAATTAGAAGACTAGAAGCAGCTCTCCAGAAAAGAGAAGAAGAGTTTTGTAAATTAGAGAAAAGAATGCTGAACTACAGGCCTCAGTGGCAACATCCAGATGTGTTGAATGTGAAAGAAAAGATGAACAGATACGTTTGCTACTGGAAAAAGTCTCCAAGCCGAAGGATGAGAAACTTACACACAGCAACACAGCCACACCTGCTCAAAGTCAAAATGTGCACAGAAGCAAATTTTCTAAACTGAAGTCAAGGGACTGGTTGCATCAAAAACAGTCATCACCCTGCCACTCATTTGAAATGTGGAGGCTGACTTCAGCAAGTGAGTATTGACCATTATTCACAGTGAACATTAGAAAAATGTTGATTCCTTTTCAAAAATGTCTGATTGATTTTGTTGAATTACAATGTAAAGGAACATTGTTAAGGATTAAAGCCACATAGCCCAAAAATTGATGAATCAGATTCTTTCTGTCCTTTACTTATCAGGTTCTATAACATAGTAAACATGGCTAATGAAACACCGCCTGCTAATACAGTTGAGGCACTAAAGTTGAATCCATTTGAGAGAACTCAAGTTGAAAATGAAATGTTAAGAGGACATAATTCATGTTTAAATACTACGAAGACCATTTTTGGTGTGAGTCCCCAAAAGGGGTTATAATTATATGCTGTAATGTAACCAGTCTGATATTTTTTTTCCACTCTTTGTATTTAGGTTATTCTGGTTGTTATGATCTTTTGGTTCTGTGGCTAAAGTTGTGTGTTAATATTCACGTCATTTTGCGAGACTTCCACTTTCTTATATTTGGAGATTTCATAAATTTAGTGTTATTTGTTGAATGCTACGTCGATTGTGTTTTTGAACAGGTTGATTGTGATAAGGTTTGGTTGGTCATGTTCTGTTTATCTCTAGGTTAATGTGCTTGATGCTGATACTTTGCGCTGTCCGACTGTTTTGTCATGTTTTTTTGTCATTTGCACCTGATGAACCTGACTTGCAACTCTGAAGGTAGCACTCATGTAGTTTTTGTGTGCATCATTAAAATGAAGGAACTTAATGACTTAATTATGGAAGCAAGTAATGTAATGATATGAGAAAAGAGGAGTAGAACTTCAGCATCAGTGCTACAGTGTGAATAGAGCAAGGCAGCATGAGACTGATCCACTGTGTTAAAGTGCTGAATAAGTGCACCACCACCCGGGGTGTCAAAGCCACACCATGCCACTGTTAAATATTGGTGCTTATTCAGTTTTGTGAGACAAGATCTTAGAATATGTTCTGCTTAATATGCTGACGAAGACCAACATTACTCTCACTAGTTGGTTAATCTCAAGCAGACAGCAGACCTATCATATTTTTTCTTTTTTTGTGAAGAAATTATTTCAGAAGATGAAGGACATGCAGCAAGTGAATCTTACATAGGTAAGAGTTTTTTTTTCATCCTAAAAATGTGTTCTCATTATTGCACTAGCATTAAAATTCCTTTTTTTTGTGTAGATTCATCATCAGATGATGAGAGACCTCATGCAAGTGAATCTCATAGAGGTAAGAGGTTTATCTTTCCTCAGAAATGGGTTCTGACTGATGTACTAGCATTAAAATGCCTTATTTTTGGGTAGAATGGTCATCAGATGATGAGGGACCTTGGGCAAGTGAATCACACAGAGGTAAGAGATTTATCTTACCTCAAAAATGTGTTCTGACTAATGAACTAGCATTACAATGCCTTTCTTTAGGATAGAATTAACATCAGATGATAAAGGGTCACTGACAGATCTCTCCCCACTAATATATATTTCAACAAAGCAGTTCCACTGTTACACAAATTAAATGTTAATTAGGTAAACTATACTTACACAGTTGCTGATTAAAAAAGTCATTGTGAAGGTGACTAGTGAATAGATTGAATCAGAGAATCTCAGTCCATATTACAATCAGAAAAAAAGATAGATCATGATGAGCTCACAGATAAAACTGAACTAAGAAATGATAAGTAAACTACAAAATGAACTGACAGAAAAAGAGAGTGAGATAGAGATCTTTGTCTTGCATGGATATATGACATTTTCTATGAATGGATCTGTAAACATGGTTCATAATAGATTACAATGCATTCATAAAACATTGCAATACATATTAACAAAAATCTACTTTATAGCCCTGTTTATTATGCATTATGTTAACATAATGCATTATAAGTATTGTTCATAACCCGTTATATTATCAGTGCGAAAGATGTCAATCTCAGCTGATCACCTGCTGTGCATATGATTGGCTAAAACTGTCAGGGCAATTATTTAGGCTGGTTTAGCCTGGCCATTCTTGCTGCTTCCTCTGAGGGCCACTTAGCAAACTGTCCCCACCCTGACTCATCCTTCATGCTGTGTCTATCTTAATCAATGTCATGTTTGTTGTCGTTGATACCTGCTCTGTTCTGTGCAATATTAGTCCTGAGTGAAATGCAAGATTAGATTTGGAAAGAATAACACAAATTACTTTTGTAAAAATGGAAAATAGATGCATTTGCAATAATGTGATGGTAAGTGTGTTAATCTATAACTATGATAATATGGACTAAGACTTAACAAACTCACATTACCTTCTGAAAATGCAAAACAAATCTAGAAACATTACATTAAATCACTGGGACTGGGAAGATGTAACAGGCATTGTGCATTGTGAGAGGTAGTGACATGGGACAGACAGACATAATTTATCTGCATATTTCAAGTGAAAAATCCTACACAGTCTTCCTTTAATCCCTATACTCTATTTTTAAAGGTTGATCAGATTTATGCTTATTATTAATCATAGTGTTGCAATAATGTTCACATTTCACAAATCATGTTCTTTCAAGGACCCCACAAAAAACTACATCAGATTTTCTACGTGGCTGGACATATAAACTCAACAGCATCATGGAAGAACTAACCGAGGACCAGTTCAAAAGGATGGTTTACTTGATGCAATTTCGAGATACATGGAGAATCCCTGCTGGTCAGTTGGATGGCCAAGACAGAGCTTCAGTCACTCAGCTTCTCGTTCAAAAATGGGGTGAACACCAGTGCATTATCAATACCAGAGATATCATGAAGAAGATCCCACGCAATGACTCGGTCATACGAGATCTATTCATGCCATTTCTGGAACACATTGGTGAAACATGGTAACACTGTCTCAGACAGCAGTGTTGAGTATGCACAAGCATAATGGAGAAGTTTCTACATTTTAACAATGAAGATGTTTTGGTACTTGGAACTTTTTATTTCATACTTTCTCTGTAACAACATTGAGAAACCTTTTCATTCTAACCAACCATATGCATTATAAGTATTGTTCATAACCTGTTATATTATCAGTGCCGAAGATGTCAGTCCCAGTTTGCAGAGTGGATTATGACTAACAAACCTGCCCATTCTTAACCACTCACAGAATTGATTTGTCATTGTGGATATAGAATGTTACTGATAGACACATGATATTAGAACCCCATTATAAAAGCTTGTAAGATGTATTTGTCAGCTCTAAATAAAGTGAGACATATGGTTTTTATGCCATAGCATTTTCAATATTTAATTTCACACCTGCCCATATGTCCAATAATTAAAAAAAAAAAAATTAAAACTGGAGCGGTTGTCCTGCCTAGAAGAACACTCGTGGTTTTTAACCCCAAGCACAGTGCAGAAAATAGTTACAGAGGTAAAAAATTACCCCACGGATCACGGTTTGAGATTTGTAGGAGATAACAGCATTTTGGGGTCACCAAGTCTCTAAAACTACATTAGATGGCACCTCAGTTCTAATAAACAATTTAAATGGAGAGCCACAATGAAACCTTTTCTTTTCTGTAACCTTAAATATAAGCACCCAGAGTTTGCAAGACACTACTAGAACTTTGACTGGAACCAGGTTCTATGTTCAGGAAAGACAAGCATTGAACTTTTGGCAAAAACACCCAGGGTAGGTTTGGCATAAAAAGAAGGATGGTTATACAGAAAAGAACTTCATCTTCACAAATATGGTATTTGCATTTTTAAATTTTTCATTGTCTCAAAATGTTCATTAGTATGAACAAAACTGACCCCTTCTCTTGACTGTAAATCATGTTTAAATTGTAACACTGAAACACTGAAACATCTTCTGTTCTCTGAGAGAATGTGACATGACTCAAATATTAATGGCAATATCAACTAAGTAAAATTAAATTAAACTCAGCAGTCAACCTAAGTGAGTGTTCTGTTTTCTTTATATTTTAGCTCATTATTTTCTCATTCAGCCCACAACTTTACTATTTGGCTACAATATAACAGAAATAATTTTATACTTTGGTAGATGTTTAGAGTGAACCCACTGATGAGCCCTCAGAACCAGCAGAAGCTGTCCTGCAGTGATGCTCATGAAAAAACTGGTTCATAATTGAATGTTAAAGTTTTCCCATAATTCATAATTTACTGCTTGCATATTTATTAAGATTTAATGAATAAGGTCCTTTGTTAGGATGGCATTAGACGTGGCACCATGGACTTGTAAGGTGACTGGAGATTTTCTGTAAAAATCTGGCTGGTTACCAAAAAGCTAGAACTGGGCTGTGTTTGGATCTTCCAGCAGGACAGTGATTCAAAACATAGCACCAGTTCCCAGTAGTGTGAAATTTAGTCTGACCAACAGCCTATAAAGCAATTCAAATGTAAAACACATTTCTATATAGATCTAATGGCTCATAAAACAATCTAAAAATATGTAGATTTTCTGATACATATACAGTATATAATTTTCTTGATTATAAATATTAATAAATTACTTAAACTGTTTGTTTAATCTGCATGTTGCAATGCATCAGGGGTTCCTAATCCCAGTCCTGTAGACCCAACATACACTTGTTTCATCTAGCTCACATAATTTAACTCATGAACTAAAAGAGGAAAATAATGGACTATAAATTAATGTAATGACATAAGCCAATCAATGATTACAGTATAGCAAAACATGATACAAACATTTAAATGTATAAGGGTTTGAGCTTAATTTCTGCATTTTGTTGCATTTTATGCTCATAACTGTGGTCATGTCAGTGGGTCCTGTCAACACAGGAGCATCAGAATCCAATCAGGGTAATGGAATTAGTTTCTTGGACAGGGGTTAAGTCTAGTCCTGAACTAGGCTACCTCATATTGCTTTTAATCCATGGCGTGCACACACTTTGGTGAGGGCAGGAGCTGAGATGTTTCAAACAGGCATTTTGTGGGGGCAGCTCTAAGTTTGTGTCACAATTTTTTCAGTATATGAATATACCATTTTAGACAAGGTCATTCTAATTTTGTGGTATTGTGCGTGGAGATCTGATTTATACAAATGTACTGGATTTTCTAGTCCATTCCAGACCTAATTGTAATAAATGGCCTGTTAAATAGGCATGAGTAAAATTGGCTGCTGTTTTAAAGCCATTTTAAGGCCATATTACGGACGTAACTAAACTGTGCTTGCCCTGCATGGACATTTTAGCACCCCATGATTTGGCATTGACATTAAAGACATGTATGCTGGATTTGTTACTGTGTTTTCTAATAGTGTCATCTTGGGCTCAAATTTCCTCACTTCTTGGGCCCAGCTGTGTCCAAGTCTACAAGACCACACTACGTCCCTTCAGTATTATCTGTGAGCGTGTTTACGTGCACTTAATAATCCGATCATAATCAGATTTCTGCAATTATCTGATAAGGTCATCTAAATAGCACTCTCTGATTTCTTAGGTCAGAGTGAGGTCTAGAAATCTGATTACAAAATAAAGAGAGATAGATTTTAGCTCAGTAATCAGATTTCTCAGTGCATGTTAACTCTTACAGATTTCTCAGTCTGCACATGTGCGAAAAACAAACCGTGGTACCGGAAATAAGCAAGCAGCGTTGCCATGACATGGCAGCAAAACACTTGACAAAATGAAAGATTTTCTTCTATTTCTAGATGATGTATGTTCATATTTCAGGTAAAGTGGAGCGGTGTGTTTACAAAAAAGCAGCAGGGTAAAGTTTGAGTTTTACTTTACGTTTACATCACATCTTATTCTAAGAATTTATTGGCCGGTTACAGAGCAGAAATCCATCTACTGCCTGACTCATGTAGACCTGGAGTTTTCCATTATCTGATTACCCAAGTGCATGTAAATGCCTTGATCGGATTGCTGACAAAAACTGATTTTCTGCAGTTATCAGATTATCAAGTGCATGTAAACACACTCTATGATTCATTGCATAAGCAGCAATGCAAATTTTGTAAAATTTCTTTCTGGTGTTGGGTGGATGTCAAGGGGCCACAAGATGGCAACTCAGCTCTTCTGATGGAAATAAACATGCCCACATTTGCCAATGCATATGTCATAGGAAGGCCCACCCACTTTACCTTCTTTTTCTTTTTCTTCACACACTCAGATCTTTCTTCGTCTTTGAAGATGCGCTACCGTAGTAAGTGTAATCCTTCGTGACCTGCTTTTAATACCTTCCATTAGAACATTATTATTGTGTAACAAATTATTGAATGCCACTGGCATTTCAGTATAAAGTTACAAAATAATAATACAATGGAGGAATACCGTTATCACCTGTTTGCAACATGTGAGAGGGAAGCAGAGAGTAAGGACATGGCACAAATCCTCTGCAAGCACTTCAGTGTAAAAGGAAAATCTGGAGGTGGAGACTGCAAGGTTTTTGAAATCTCCTCTGGCTTATTCTGTATTTCATTCAAATCTGAGCAAGGTAAGGCAAAACCAGAGTATTCAGTGATTCTGTGATCAGGCTTTAAACTCTGAACACTTTGCACATTTACTGTGTATTCTGTGCCTTTACTTTTTTATATCTGTAAAAAAAGTTTATGCATTTTGTTTGATCTGTCAGAATATCTCTCACTTTCCTAACAGTTAGAGACCGAGTGATGAATCAAAGCCAAAAAATAATGATGGCAAACTCAGAGGTTGTCATAACATTGCATGAGTCACCAGTGCAAGCAAAGACTGTCCTTGAGAGAAAAGTACGGTTTGATAATTTAAAGTTGAATTAAGATAAGCACATTTATCCTGCTGGAAAGACAATAACAGACCTGCTTTATTGTTTGGGTTATTAAAGAAAGATTTGTCCTGTATTATGCAGGAGGAGAGTAAGCAACTCCTTATTAACCTGGAAGAGATTAGCATTGCTGCCTGTAAGTGAAGCAAATCAGACTCACCCCTTGTTTCACTAAGTTTTTCTGTCTTTCTGCTTCAATTTTCAAAATTTGTCACTCTTCTGATCTCCAGGTGAAGTCTGTACAGCACAAATACAGATCCCCTTTGAGTCTGTGTACACTGACCTCTTAGAACCCCATTATTTAAAGAGCATTCAGGAAGACTTCACTGATGTAAACTTTCAGTTTGACATAAGAACACTGATGCTTCAAATTACAGGGACTCCTCAAAGTGTATCATCTGCCAAAAGAGATGTTAATGATGCGCTACGGAGGCTTAAAAGCAAAGAAATCAACATGGCCCCTGCTCTGACTACTTACCTAAAATCCAGAGGATCAGGATTGGTTTCCAAAATCTATTTCCTTCCTGAAGAGATAGCTGCCTCCATTGATGTACGCTTGAACAGCTCTGTAGTTATACATGGACTGTCTCACTATGATATTAAAAGAGCAGAAAATATACTGATAGAAGATTTGGCCACAAAAGTGGTGAAGATCCATGAAGAGGAAGATGTGTCTGTGGTCAACACAAATAGTTTTGAGGATTTTGTTGAGGCGCTGAACAAAACTTACACTGGAGTACAAGTCAGTGTTGTGGACAGCAATGAAAACAAGCCTGTGTGTATGGTGGCTGGAAGAAAGACAGATCTAAGCTCAGTGGAAGAGAAGATTCATGAGTTCATTCATAAGCAAAGCAAGACGACTGTAAATGTGGTACTAGATGGAACCATGGAGTTAATAGAGCGCATACCGCTGCTACTTGATAAGCTCGAGCTAAGCCACCTCTCTGGAAGAGTCAAATGGAATCAATATTTGGAAACACTTGAACTGACAGGAACACAGAAAGAAAATGATGAAAATATGGAATCCATTAAAGAAAAAACTAAAGGCCTACAATGCAAAACAGTCATAATATGCCAACCAGGAGCATATTCATATTTCAAAGCAAATGGCCAAGAGTTTTTGAACTTATTACACTCAATGCTGTCCTGCATGGCAGTTCTCGAGACAGAACCCGGAAAAGTTAACCTGCAGGTATGAAAGTAGAAGTGAATGAAGAAAAAAGGGTAAATAAATTGTTTTATTATAAATGGCTTTAGAAAGCCATTAATCTGACACACTTGATCAAATAAATTGTAATGTTCTTCCATTTTTTTTTTTTGAGGACACAAAAAAGTATCAGTACATTTGGTTAACTACACTCTTAAAAAATGGTATCTACACTTTTGGATCCTATTGAATATGGAAACATTTATTCATCATGGGTTTTTGCATTTTTAAAACTCTTAATCTGTTTTGTTCCATTTATAGGCTGGGATTGAGAGAAATCCTGCCAGCAAAGGTTATGAAAACAGTTATTCTCAACACTGTTTTGCTTATACTTTAATGAAATGAAATGGCCATGAAATGAACATTTGTAAATGGTTGTAATCTTAGGCAAAGGCAGTGATGTTCTTCTTCATGAGGAAGACAAGGACATGTGCTTGACTGCAGATAACATCATTGTTAAGGCAACTATTTCAGACAAACTGACTGAACTATCAGATGTCATCATTAATCCTTTATGTCGATTTACTACTGGTACGATCATAAAACTATTTCTAGTATTCTGGCACTACAGCTAATTATGTACAGCACAATGGTTAATGACATTATTAAAGGGTTAGTCCTCGTCCTAAAATCTTATTGGCTAAACCATGTATTACTGTTCCAAGTCATGAAGAAACCTTAGTGCTGTTAAAGGAATAATCTTTCACTTTGATGCTGCTTACACGGACCTCCAAGTGTACTGATGAAGTAAGAACATTTTTTTTAAACTGGGGGACTGAGGACTTATTTTCTTAACTAGAACAAGGCTCGACAACTAACTAACAGGCTAAAAGACATCAAATAGGCAAACAACTCTCCCATTAATATCACAGGCTTGAATTAAAGTACTTACTACAGGATTCACTGTAAAACTGCAGTATAAAAGACTTAAGAATGTCACTTGAATGTCCTTCATGCTTGATATGTCCATACCCAGGATAGAAGTGGCTCCATACTCCCTAAACAGTGTGCTGTGTGTCCAGTATGGATGTGAACGAATCCCTAATGACTATTTGTTAGACATTATGCACTGTCTGGGTGCAGGAGCCAGTATTTTAATTCCTACATAGTGCACTACATGGGGAGGAGGGATCCACTTGCGATTCAGCCCTGGCATGAGATGATGGATATACATTATCTTGGTGCTAAATGACACTGGAAATTGCATATAGGCAGTAATGGAAATTAGCATTGTCATCACGGTGGTAATTTGGTGACCAAAAAGTACTTATAAAGTGAAAGTTTTCAGATAAAATAGTTCTATATTATAATATGCACACTATTTAATGACAAAAGGTTAATGAAATTGCCAACACACAGTGATAGGTGAATGAATCTTCCCTCATTTAGCAGGCCATGGTTGCTTGGCAACAATACCATAATCTAAATCATGGTGGGGAACTGAAGGCCAGAGTCCAGCACAGTTTGGTGATTTCCCTACTTTAGCACGCCAACCAAACAGTAATTAGCTGATTAGTTGAATCAGGTGTGCTGAGGAGGAAAACCATCAAACTGTGCAGGAATCTGGCCCTCAAGGACCAGAGCTCACCACCACTTCTCTGAAGGAACTACATTTTTTGGCCAAGTACCTGTTTATCTAGATTATTATTAATAATAACTTTTATAAAATATAATAAACGTGTGGTTTATTATAATTTATGCTTTCCACCCTTTTGTAGAAAGTAATAAGCCTCTTAAGATATTAAAGTGATATTATCTCTGCTTTGTGTCTTTCCTAATAACACTCTTACTCTTGATAAAATCACTGTAATGCACAGCTTCTTGTGGCTTTTTGCCTTAATCCATTTGTTTTAAATGCTGTATTTTTTCAAAAAGGAGTTTTGGTCTGACAAAGTCTGTGTTTACCATATTTCCAGATAGTAAGATCCTAAGTGCAGCTGGACCGAGGGTGAAGACTGAGCTTGCAAGGACAGGTAAAAAGCTTTGGTAACACTTTACTGGAGAACAGCATTCATAATGATGACAACCCACATCAGCCTTTCATGACAATTAACACAAGCCTACATAAACATTTAGAAAGGCTTTTTACAACAACAATATGTGATGAAGTAGGATTTGAGGCAGAGGATTTGAGACAATTCAGAAGATTTAAAGGCCAGTACAACAACATCAGAATCAGGTTTTACTCAGATTTTTATTGACAAACTCTAATATATAATCTAGCGTTTAAGATGTAGTGCAGTGATATAAAACGATTAGTCTGTTTCTGAGTCTCAGTGTCAGAAAGCATTACACAACATGCTAAGCTTAGCCAGTAATACACGCATTAAATAAAATTGTTTATTTATTTATACGCACTAAGCTCAATAAGACTCAAGCTATGTTATAAAATCATACATGTCGGGATGTAAAGAGTACTGAAAATCCATACTTAAGTACAAGTACTGTTACTGTAGTGATAAATTACTCAAGTACAAGTAAAAGTATTGGTAAATACAATTATTCAAGGAAGAGTAAATAAGTAGTGGAAAAACTACTTAAGTACAGAGTTACTTTTTCGTATTTCCGCTGTCACAAACTGAAAATATTTCTGAGCTGACTCGGTTACTTCACTGGAAATAATCTGTACATAAAAACACTAAAGCAAAAGTTTTGAGACGTTTGTTCAGCAACATCAGCAATTTACCCAGCTTTTTATACTGTAATATATTTCACTGGTAATCATCTGGTTAACTTCATACAGACATTATTACCAGTCAATGACAGCGTGACAGAATCACTGTGCAGAGTTTATGAAGAACTTGTATTAGACTAGATTTCTTGTATCGCAAAAAACAGCAGCTAAACTAGGCTGTAAAAACGAGTAAACTGTAGGCTGTGGGCGACACCTATTAACTAAAGCAGCTGACAGGCAACCTTTCTCTGCTGCTGCCTGGCAAAAGCGTGGGCTGTCTCCAGCTGATCCTGAAGCCTTCAAGCATACTCCGGACCTGGCTGAACAGAAGGGGTGTCATGAGGTTAGTTCCATGGGTGTGTGAATCTCCTGCCCCAACATGAGGAGAACAAGTGTGCATGAGGTAGAGGCCTGAACTGCACTTTGACACTTTGACAAACAGACCTGAATTGTGCAAACACACCTTCCTCCTAATTGGGTAGACGCAGCGTGTTATCCAGAATAATTTGCATAAAGTTCAGTCTCTGCTTCAGTGGCACTCAACTTTTCAGCATAACTCATCCCCCAAAGTCAACGCACTGACCCATCAGGCAGCATGCAGCTGTGTCTGATGGAACCAGTGCTTCCCATCAATGAAAATGAAACGAAAACCTGAAAAAAAACTTAAAAAAAAATTCTTTAGTTAATGATCATTATCAAATCAAACATTCCGTTATGCCCTGTTCCACCTTTGTATGTACCAGAATCAAACTCTGTCTGTAGACTGCAAAGTATGTTTTACATTTGATCTGATTTAAGGAAACCACAGCCTTTTGTGCATTCACTTATCTCTTGTTTAACAACTCGAATAATCAAATGTATTGTCTGTATGCCCCACAACCCAGAAAGATAAATGGCTTAGCTAATGTGTGTGTGTGTGTGGTGTGTGTGTGTGTGTGTGTGTGTGTGTGTGCAGTCTGTGTTCATAAAACTTGTGCTTTTATTTACAGATTTATGTTCAGATTTATTGTTTGTTTCAGTGCAAAGAAATGCAATAACACTGACTGGGCCCGGTGATCTTCCTTGTCGACTGCTTGTCCATATTCCTTGCTTGTGTGGTCCCAAAGCTAAAGAATATCTCCAAGATGCCATTCAAGAGTGTCAGAAGAGAAAGTACAAATCCATCACAGTCTTACTTGATGAAAATGGTTTGTTGAATTTAGACTAAAATATAATATTTATTATTTTTTTTATTTATTGTTATTGTGTATTTCTATTCCTACATGTAAATATTGGAAGCCTAGTGTATTTGACATTTATTTTACTTTTATTGTCCCAAGAGCTACATCAGATTGTAGATGAGCAGAAATTGGGGGATTTTATACAGATGACCCTGCAAAAGATGAATGCAGGAGAAATGATGAGTGTTGTGTTTGCACAGCAGAGGTTTTTCCAGAGCTTTAAACGGGCTGCAGAGTCTGTCTATAAGGAAAAGCACACCGGGAACATGGGTGAGTCTATTTTTTAAGCATGTCGATCTTTCATATTGCACTTGTGCTTGTGTCTGCTCTGAGGCTTCAGGACCCTCATCAAGTTTATGTTTAGTTCATACACTTGAGGACAGTAATGAAAGAAGCATTGCTTCTTTGCTTTGCTTTATAAGGCTTCCAATATTCACCCATCTCATTTCTTATCTTGTCATCAAGTTTTGTGATGAACTGAATAGTTTTACTCCCAGCAGAAGTGTCGGGTGGCACTAGGTGCTTATCATGTCCAGGTTGTTTGTAGTAAGCCAGTAAAAATAAATTGACTATTGGGAAGCTCCACCCCATCAATACAATTTTCAGAGACAGGCTGTTCAAGCTTGCACAAAGTACCGGCCACTTTCCCAATATGCTTTGCAAACAATTTACCTTCTTTGACAAGAAGCTGGAACTGTTTCTCTGAAAACAGCAGTGTTCTGTATATGAGGAATACAGTAAATTACTGCATCATTTCTGCTGTAATTATTATTAATATCTTCTCTCTATAGTACAGCCATTCAAGCACACTTTAATCTACCACTCTGTCATTCTAACAATGTGAGTAATCAAACTTTTTATCTTTCATTGTTTTGTTTTAACTGACACACATGTCCTCAGAGTCTAAAGATGATCCTGAGTCTCTGCACAGGCATTCAGTTCTGTGTGAACCTGCTGTTATCCACGTCTTCTCCAAACAGAGCCGGCTGCGAGACAAAGCTAAAGCTGCAATAGAGAAGCACTATGCAGCATTTCTTTCCACAGACATGTTGATTAACCCTCATTTGCGTACCTGTGGTGACAAAGCTTTAGCAAAAATCTGTCAGCTACAGGAGAAACATAGCGTCAATGTCATTATTGGGGATGGTACTCTAACCTTCAATGGCCTTGCTGTGAAAACATCTATTGCGAGAGAGGAGGCTGCTGAACTTATAAAAGAAGATGTAAATCTAAAGCAGTTGGAGCACAAGAGAGAAGTGCTCCAGAACATCCAGTGGGTCATTAACGATGAGGAAGTGGGCCCTGTGAAGTTGAGGTGTGAAGACAATTATGATGTAGAAGTTCAATACATGTGCCTGCATGAACCAATAGAGGTGACATACGATGATAAGACATTCACTGTCAATGTGTCAGACATGAACGCTATCAACAAAGAGACCTCTCAAGTGCATCCAGTCCTGAGAACTGAGCTGATAGGTGAGCCTGTAGTTCATGCCATTCAATGTAATAACATTTATATGTTCTATTTCCAGATATCATTGTGTAATCTATGATGTTAGGTTGCAGTTTTCTGATCCTTGAATTCTGAAACTGAAATTTTGATTCATAGAGGTGCTTCTTAAGCTGCTTTTTAAAAATACACATTGCATAGAAAAATCTTCTCAGTCATATGAAGAATTGCTTTTTTGTTGGATCTACTGTTTATTTCAGTGTTTTTTTCTCAACTTCTGCTCCATTCCATTATCTTGGACTAATATTTTGCCATAAACATACTCTCCCTGAGCACTTTATTAAGAAGATGGTGCTAATAATGGGCAAGGCTTCGTTTTGCTCTCAAAACAGCCTCGGTTCTGGATGGACTGGATTAATTGGAAACATTCCTTTGAGATTCTGGTCCTATGTTGACATGATTGCATCATGCAATTCCTGGAAGTGGGCATTGTAAGATGGCTAAATTGTGGTCATAAAGGGATGCTCAGGGCTAGTAACAACCAGGCTGTGGCATTCATGAAATTATTAACTGGTATTAACAGATCCAAAATGTTCCAAGAAAATATTCCCACACCATTACACCCCCTTCACCAGCCTGGACTGTTGACATACTGTTAGCGCCAAATTTTGACCCTACCCTCTGTGTGCCTCAGCAGAAATCAAGATTCATAAGACCAGGTAGATTCTATGTTTGTCTAGTTTTCAACTGTTCAGTTTTGGTGACCTGGGCCCAGTGCAGCCTCAGCTTTCTGTTCTTGACTGACAGAAGTGGAACACAGTGTCCTCTGCTGTTGTAGCCCATTCACCTCAGGGGTCTATGTATTATGCACTCTAAGATGCTTTTTTGCTCACCACAATCGTAGAGAGTGGTTATCTGAGTTATTGTAGCCTTTCTGTCAGCTCAAACCAGCCTGGCCATTCCCCATTGACCTCCCTCATCAACATGAACAAGACATCAACAAGACATTTCCATCCACAGAACTGCTCTTTATTGCATAGAGACTGTTGTGTGTGAAATTTACAGGAGATCAGCAGTTGCAGAAATACTCAAACCAACAATCTTGTCATGGTCAAAATCACTGAGAAAATATTTGTCTCCATTCTTATGGTTGACATTAACATTACCTGAAGCTCATATCTGGCCCATATCTGCATGATTGTATGCACTGCACTGCTGCCACATAACTGTCTGATTAGATAATTGCATGAATGTGTACTGGTGTTCCTAATAAAGTGCTCAGTGAGTGTGTGTCAGTGTAAACTGACACATTCAGGGGTGGGGGCATTGTAGTCTAGGAAGATGACATGAATTATACTAGCAATATAGCACTGTGGGCTTTCTATACTTTTATAATTGGATATTTTATCTTGAGACTTATCATTTATGAGTTTTATTTTAGATGCACAGATCTACATTGACCTAAATACATTTTCACTCCTTTTTCCATCAGTGAGGGTAATAGATTTTTCACAGTATGTAACTTAACAGTTTATCAATGAATATCAGTTGTCATTTGCTGATCTTCTCATATTCTTACACAGTGGAAAGCTTCCCAGGCAAGTGGAGTGTGTCTGAAGAGAAAAAATTCAAAAAGGTGGAATTAGAAATAGATTCACTTGAGTACATTTCAGTTGAGAGGCAATTTAATGAGACATTATCCAGCAAGATTATAAACAAGGTAAGAAATAGTACAAATAAGATATGGAGGTATGTGTTTGTTGGTGTCTAAATATAAACACAGTAATAATTTTGAACTTTCTATTAGCTTTCAAAGATTAGCACCTAGAACTGAAGTGTTATAAGCTCAATGTGTCATAGGAAAAATATTGCAAATCTGCAATAATTAGAGTTAAAAAGTGCAGGGGCACAATTGAACATCTACTTTGAGTTTCAGTCAGTTAGTCGCACTATGTAGCCTCATATCTTTTGTCTCGGGAATGATAATTTGGCATCACTACCAACATTTGGGTGTCTAAAAATAATGTTTCTCTTGATGAAAATAGTAGGCAAAACAGAGTCATTCAGTAACAGCAAGCCAAAAATCACTCTCTGATGTATGATTACAGTGACAGGTGGTCAATAACAGTGACACTTTTCACCATTGCTAAACACATATTAATTTGGCTACATAACCTACTCTAATAAATAAGTACTTTTGATTGATGGATGCTAATCCCTCTGAATCTTTTGAAAAAAATAAAATGCTATGAAACTCTTTATATATTAAGTTACGTATTTTTAGTTACAAACTACAGTCTACTATTAGCTCTACAATGTAGCTAACAATGCATTAGCTGTACAATGTCCCCCATTTTGTCCACAATCTTATGTACATTTAATTTGAGTGATATTTGTATTTTACATTTATTTAGATTGAGAGGATTGAGAACAGGAACCTGTGGAAACGTTTCTCTTTAGACCTCACTGGAGAGGTAAAACTTCTCTTTTATGGTCTCAAGCATGCAGATGTGGGAAAGGTGGAGAAAAATGGATTCTTCAGACCACCAGAGACTTTCTTCTCCTATGAGACAGGTGAGTGTTGCAGTCCATGAGCTCCAGAAAATTATTTGAGATATGAGTGTTAAAATAAAATTAAAGTGCACATTCAATCTCTTAAGGCCGACAAAAAATACATCTGACATTTAATCTGCTTTTCTCCACTAAAAGTGTGATTTCTCAGTGCTCTTGAATTTATTATACATATAAAGTATGTGATCTAAAAAGCCAAGAATTTTTAGATTTTTATTGAGTTTGTCTCACAAATTACTTTTTTGAACAAGAAAATGCATCAATAGGAGTCTCATATCAAGTCACATGTTGATCCCAGTGGCATAGACAGAGATAAAGTTTTGGGTGGGCCTGTGAAAAAGTGGGTAGGCCAGTTTGGTAGATAAAATTTCCAAACGCACTAATGTCCTGCAATGTCGTAACATCAGGATATAGCTTATTCCTGACCGCCATGCAATCATCACCCAACATATTCCAAAACTTCCGTTTCTATAGTAATATTCTATAGTATCATTACCATAGTCAAATCAAGTCAAGAGTCAAGTCAAGAGGCTTTCACTGTCATTCCATCTATGTACAAGTACACAGTGGAGTGAAATTACGTTCCTCTAGGACCATGGTGCAACATGGAACAAAACAATACAGTACAAAGTGCAAACGTGCAGACGTAAGTGTTCAAAACATCAAACTAGAAACAATACAATAAATATGATAATTAAAACAGACATTAGACACAGTAAACAGACAGAACAGTCCAGCGCTGACACAGCACTCATGGTTGTGAGAATAAGATGCAAAGATATTTAACATGCTGTGATATGTGAGTATATGAGCTCATACGAGCTACGCATATCCTCAAGCTCAACCAGAATACTAGATTCACATCAACACAATGAAACACACTTAACTAGAAAGACCATAAAGTACGCATGCACGTCTGTCTGATTAAAATCAGATAGCTGAGATGTACACAGACAAAAAAACACATGGCAAATTTAAAAGCCAAATCATCAAAGCCTTAAACACACTGTTATGGCAGGGATGTTTATGGTCCATTCATATTGATTCATTAAAGTAACATTAACATTAGATGAGCTCACTTTTAAATGTCCCCAGTTAATATTTAACAGCAACTGGAGCTTCAAATTCAAACACTGTCGTGCTGATAATGAACTTTAATAACTTTAATAAGTTTAATAAGTATTCTGTCTCCATTTGATTGGGTAGGCCATTGATCAGTCTGGCTAGGCCCTCACAGTAAAATGGAGTTGAAGGTGCCATTGCCAAATTTTCAGATATGAATTAGTCTGTAAAGCACCTAGCTGCTGATATCTCTGGGTGCATTCTGATCATTCATGGTCACTCACCCCAGACTTTCCTGCTCTTCTCTTTTTGTGTTGTAGCTCAGGGAAGAGGCATTTACTTCTATGTCAATGCATCATGTGCTCAGAGGAGATGTGAAGCAGATGCCCAAGGTCAGAAAGTAATGTTTCTGGGTCGAGTTGAAACAGGCATTTTTACTGTAGGGAGAAAAGGGATCAATATGCCCCCACCAGTGGACCCCTCTGACCCAGGTGTCCTCTACCACAGTGTGGTGGACTACAAGAACAATCCCAGTGTATTTGTGGTGTTTAGTTCAGACAGAACTTATCCTGAGTACTGTATCATGTTCTCTGATGGCTTTTAATGTATGGAGTGTCTATACCACCCACAGTGGTAGGTGTCCGTATAGAGTTCCAAGAACATTGTCATATCAGTTGCTTCACAAGTCACTTATTGCTCTTTAAAGTTTAACATTTGTGTCTTTTATCTTTTGAAATCTGTTCCTTTTCCTGCTAGCCACCATTACTAATCACCAATTTTAGGCCTTATCTGTTCATACTGTTAAACTATTATACTGTCATATTGTTATGTCATTAATATATTAAAATTGCTTAGTAAGAGAGTATAACATAACATTCAATAAAACAGTAACCAAATGACACAGATAAGATTGTAAGTTCTCAGATTGTCAGTGAAAGGATGTTTAATTCAACTATTTGGACACAGAGACAGACTTATTAATTTTAAGTTACTTTTTATTTTATTACAACTGTTTTACTTGGTGCTAATTCTTCTACTGTAATATTTTAGTAGACATCTTGATTTTTCTAAAACCTTTAGTTTCATATTTCTTATTATCTAGGCTGGTTCTTTTACTAACTTTCATGCATTTTCATTATGTATTTTATTGCTATTTTATTCCTATTTGAGCAGTTATTTTTATTTCTTTATAAATCTTTTACTCTTGATAATTTTCATTTGTTTTAGTTGGTAAATTTCATTTGAACTTTTTCAATCCTTGTTTAACTTGCTTGATTACATTGTAAATGAGGGTCACCCTCAATGTACTTCTGAGTCTAAATAAAGGTTTAAAAACAACAGCTTGACCAGTACTTTTTCTATGTATCATTCTTACCTTCGGCTGAAGGTGCTCAAGTGTATCAATAAATTTTCATATTACTCTTTACTTTTACGTGTGACTCTGTTTATGTAGAATTACATTCTTTTAGCTTATGTTTATGGCATTAATTCCTTATATATTAATAAGCATGTTTTAGTTGGGTGTTCCGTTTGAATAGTAATGAACTATCATATTCCTAAGGCTATGTTTATGTCAGAATACTTTTAAATCAAGCAATGCAAACAATCCTAATTATAAATTAGCTACTAAAAAGTTTCAGAGTTTTTCTCACTGCGGCTTTGTACAGTTTAGAGCACCCACTACCCTGGTGCACTTTTGTTTAAAGTTGCTATGGCAAGCTGGAAAATGATTACCTGGTACTTGACTCTAAATACAAAAGTAGGTAGGTACTAGGTAATTGCTTTCCATGTAACAGTGCTTGGTCCTCAAGGAAGAGTAAATAATTGGCTAAGCTGTGAAACAGAGCTAGCCCTGCTGTTGCAGCACAGTTAAACAGGAAATTCTGAGCATGCGCAATTTTTTTGTGGCTGCTAGAAAATTGTTGACTCTGGTTTGCTCCCAGAGAGAGTGTTCACTGTGATGCCTGCTCTGCCATTTATGAATCATATTTGTGCAGCCCAGATTGGTAAGTTCAAAAGTCATGTGATTGAGAGCAAAAAGATTCATATATAGTTTTTAATGTTGCTGTCTGAACACCAACTTGATACTGGGGCGGACAAGGTAAGGCATTCTGTTCCTAAGCCACCAAACTTTCTCACCACAAAGCAAGGCTTATGTCATACTAAGTAATACATTTATGTTTGCCAACAAGAAAGAATCAGAACCTTGCACAGAGTGGCTCATCCTGTGAGAATAAAGGTTCCTTCCTGTGACCTATTTTAAATCTACGTGGCAGACACTGAAAGCACAGCTGCCAGTTTGTTTGGAACCTACACTGTACCTCATTAGTCATTGTAAGTCACTGGTGATTTTATCAGAAACACTTTCCATATTGGTGCACCTTGTAGTTTTACAATTAGTGACTGTAGCCCATCTGTTGCTGCACAATTTGTCAATGAACAGAAACCATCACTGGACTACTGACCAGATATTATTTGGGTGGTGGACCATTTCCAACACTGCCTTGTCACCAACATGGTAGTAGGTCATTCATGCCAACTCAGAGCCTAACTGAACTGATCTGAAATATGGGTACAACAAATTAATTTACTGGAGAATGTACCTTTTATGTCAGATGCAATATGTCTAATGCGTACATTTTTTAAATGTACTCAAATTTGTATAAGGGATCATTTTCAGAGAGACTTTTTGGCTTTTTTTTACAACATATTTCTAAGTGTGTGTTCCTGATTAGAGTGGAAAGGGATATCAGTATAGGTAGTGTGGTCTTTGCTAACAACAAATGCAGTATGCAGAACATAAAATTTACACTTAGTCAGTACAGTAGTCAATATTTAGCTTGGTGAGATAAAATTCTTTAGTTGTAGTAGGAAAATCAAAATGACAAATAAGTTCACCAGAGAAGGTAACCTTAAGGGCTTAATAATTGACTTACTACTTAAATACTTTTATTTTATTGTATAATATTGCAAATATTCCAGACGTGGGCGGCACGGTAGCGCAGTGGGTAGTGCTGTCGCCTCACAGCAAAAATGGCCTGGGTTCGATTCCTGGCCGGGCGACCGGGGTCGTTTCTTTGTGGAGTTTGCATGTTCTCCCCGTGTCTGCATGGGTTTCCTCCCACAGTCCAAAGACATGCAGTCAGGCCAATTGGACATGCTGAATTGCCCCCTAGGTGTGAATGTGTGTGTGATTGTATATGTATGTCTGTCTGTCTGCCCTGCGACGGACTGGCGACCTGTCCAGGGTGTATCCTGCCTTCCGCCCAATGACAGCTGGGATAGGCTCCAGCACCCCACCGCGACCCAGAAGGATAAGCGGTTTAGATGATGTATGTATATTCCAGACATAATAAAGAAATGGAAAACCTCAAAAATAAAATTAGAGACAGTGTTCCACATGGATGAGCTTTTTTTCAAAAATCATTTTAGACAATTAATTTTTAAATGTGTAATTCACGATAGAGAAATCCAAAAAAATCAAGCCCTCCATTCCTGTAAGAATTCACAGATTTTCTGATATAATGTAGATGATTTTTCCACATAAAATTAAACAGCATCTGATCTTTGGTTTCAACAGTTCTGTTTTCTAAGCTCACAGAAGAAGCGACATAGGCATGCCTAGAAATACCTTCAGCTTTAGACAGCAAAACACAGCCTTTCATATACAAGTGCTAAACCACATCCTGTGAGAAGAAAGGTTCCTTCATGTGACATATTTGTCTACAGTTGTTGAGCGTTTGCAGCTTGCACTTGTGGCCATAACTGCATAAATCTCACCTGTGCCAAAGCAGGCTTCTCCACAGACTTTCATTCAAATTACCTTCTGTAGCATTTTTTTTCCCCAAACAATGTTTCTCTAAGTCTCCATTTATTTGTTTTACTTTTACAACAATCATTTGTTTTTGAGGTCACTTAAAACACTTCAAAAAGGAATAGTTTATATATTGTCTCTTTTTATGGCTTCTATGTCACTGAGCAAATCTGACTTTGATGAATAGACAATAATGCTAGTAACTCTCTCCTGATCTTATACTGCCTCCATGATATATACACAATACTCCATGAAATATACATAAATATAAATACCCCAAATATTAAATCTGCCAAAGTCAATAAAGTCAAATAAAGGAAAATTAATAGTTTTGTTGTCCTCAAAGAGAACTATACCTGTTATAGTGAAACACATAGCCACATAAATTACATTTGATGTACCTAAAATAGAATATATTTAAGATCGGATGTGATGTTTTAGTTGAGTTAGTGTATTGAAATTTAGTTTAGTCTATTGCCATTAACCGCTGGAGAGATTTTTACAGGAGGAAAGATTTTATTGACCTCTGGCGCCATCTATTTGTGTATTGGGTATGTCTTTCCACTTGTTTATTCATCGTCTCTGTGATTTTGTCTTTCCTCCTACAGGCTGTCTTCCCTTTGGGTTTATGTTCATATTATATGATTGTCTAGCCTTGTTACTGTCAATTGTAAAAGCATGTTGCCATTTTCTCTCTTTCCGAGTCTAGTTTTAAACTGTGTCTACTGTGATCATTAAAACAAGCAGGACCAACATAAAGTAAGTCAACACTAGTAAACCAAGTTTTCAAGTTCTCTTCAGGAAACTGGCCCTCCAGGACCAGAGCTCCCCACTCCTGAGTTGAGTCTGACCTATGATAGAAGACATAGTTAAGCTAATTTTAGTAAATTATGCTGGATCATGCATGTCATTGAAATTAAAAAGTTACCAAAAAAGAAGCTGACTCTAACAACACTGAGGCTATGATGATGATGAGAAAATGTAATCTGATATATATATATATATATATATATATATATATATATTATATATATATATATATATATATATATGTATATACATACATACGTTTCCTAAACTGCTTATCCTACTGGATCACAGAGGGGTGCTGGATCCTAGCAGTCATTGGGTGGAAGGCAGGATACATCCTGGACAGGTTGCCAGTCAATGTAATCTCATTGGCATATTTGCTTAAAAAATAAAAATACTGCTAAAAAAAAAACAGAACTGGACAGATGTTTGGAGTTGACCAAATTTCAAACCGATATTTGATGATGAGTCTCTACTCAAGATGTGTTATATTTCTCTGTAATGTTAGTAAAGATAGATCTAGTAACAATTTCATTTTAGGAATGTGTATATATCAGCACTCGTACCGGCTCTGGCAGATATGTAGGTAAAAGATATTGGATATCTTCAATGCCCACGATTCTCATATCTGGGCATCCCTATCAAGAATGTAGGCATGATGCACATAATTAAGCAATCACAACAATGCAGTGGGCATAATCTACCAGAATATGACTGAGGCAGTGCTTCTTAGCGTTATTTCGCACTGTAAGCTAATTAATGCACTGCCACCTTGTGGACAGCTCAGTACTCATTCAGCTCAAATCAATTCAAAACATACAGACATACATGTCTAATAAATTTTGGGCTAGGTTGAACCAATCATGTTTCAGAGGAAAGCAAAGTGTTAAGTGTTTTTTCCCACCACAGCCAAAACTATTAAAGACGACTTCCAAACATGGCTTTGAACCCTGTTGTGTAGCATTAAAAGACTGTAATGTAGCTCACTACATCATTTAATTACTGTAAACCTCAGAGTTACAACACTATATAATTTCTGTTCTGTATTATAATGAAGACGTGTGTTGTAAGTTGTCAGCGCTCCAGTTTATCTGGTTGATACCTTTTCTTTAAGCGATTATTAGAGACTGACTGACGGGTTTTTCAGCGCTATGGTGACATTTGCATCTGTGACAGGCCGGAGGTTCTTCCCAGGTGGTTGATACTGCACCAGGGCCAATGGTTGGGCCTGTAAAGATCCAGGGCTTAGCGCAGGTCACTGTAGAACTGTTTTGGGATATCATCTCCCAGACCTTTTTTTTAGCCTGTAAATTGTCCAGTTGTTGCTTTTTTGTTTAATATGAGGATTTACACATTAACAAAACATGCAGTGATTAAGTAATGTTTATTGGCTCTTATAGACAAAATAATAATTAAAAAACAAACAACAGGAAGTGAAATATGTAGATGTTTCAATTCAATAATGCCATTATTGAAGTCCTCTCCATATTTCCTCCATATCATCCAACTCCTACTGCCAACTCCTCTACGCTTCTCCTCTCCAATGTCCTGATAA